GACCAGACACAAGACCAGCACAAAACCAAACACAAAACCAAACACAAGACCAGACACAAGACCATGCACAAAACCAAACACAAAACCAAACACAAGACCAGACACAAGACCACTCTTAAGACCAGACTCAAGACCAGACACAAGACGAGACACAAGACCAGACACAAGACAAGGCATAAGACCAGACGCAAGACCAGACATGAGACCAGGCCCAAGTAACAGGTTGAACAATGACAAAGGAATGCTCTTGTTGCAGTTCATTTGAATAGCATATGATGACTTAATTCAGACTGGAAGTCGTGTGCTGGTCTTGTGTGGTCTTGTGGGGGTCTAAATTCCTAAGCTGTCTCAACTGCAACACTGACAAGTAGAGGGAAGCCATTTAAACTAAATGGCTGTTATCAGGTTTGGGAACTTTAGGAGTGGTTTTGTGTGAATAATTAAAAATGTAACTGGTTATTAAAAGTTGACAAGAAGTGAAAAGACTTGGGCAAAACAATTTATAAATTAATATTTGTTCAAGGAACCCCAATAATGATGGCATGCATGTTATGAGCCCTGAACGTCTAGTGCTTCTGCATGGGTTCACCTCCCTTCATTAATTTGACACTAGTTCCAGTGGGGCTTGAATGCACTCCACCCTTGAGGATTTTCTCCACCAGTCCTTGACTTTTATCTGTCATTTGTTCAACAGAGAGCCACCATTCCTAAAGCCAACTACACGATGTATGCCATCACCATCCTGTGATTGAGACCGTAGCTGCAGATTCCTCCTTGATGTGCCATGGTACCGGCTGTCCTCGTCGGATCCTGTTCCACTACTCGTTGAGTTTGCTCGATACTTTTTCAGAGTGCATAGCTCTTGGCCAACCAGCATTGAATGGTACACAGTACTTTGAAATGTTTTCTACCGGTACGGTGCAACACAGCAACATGAACCTTTCAATTCAATCACTGAGTCAAATTTAACTCAGTGGGGTGTACATGTAGTTAAATAGGGATTTCAAAATCCGTCATAGTTTACTCTAATATAGCCTCATGTTGACCCACATTCACTGGCTCTCTGTGCACCTTCCCCCCTAATCATGTTCAGCTTTCCAGCATGGTCTGTGGTTAGATCCTCATGTTGACTCCATTCACTGGCTCCCTGTGCATACCGTCCCCCAATCATGTTCAGCTTTCCAGCATGGTCCGTGGTTAGACCCTCATGTTGACCCACATTCACTGGCTCTCCTAGCACACCTTTCCCCCCTAATCATTTTCAGCTTTCCAGCATGGTCCGTGGTTAGACCCTCATGTTGACCCACATTCACTGGCTCCCCTTTCACACCTTCCCCCCTAATCATTTTCAGCTTTCCAGCATGGTCCATGGTAAGACCCTCATGTTGACCCCCGTTCACTGGCTCTCTGTGCACACCTTCCCCCCTAATCATGTTCAGCTTTCCAGCATGGTCCATGGTAAAANGGTACCTTCCCCCTAATCATGTTAGGCTGTGTCAAGTATTCACTGCCGCGCTAACCCTTGCCATTTACATGTATTTTCGTCTTGTTAAATACAGTTTACATGTACTTAAAAGCACCCTACTCCTAAGAACTGGGGCCCAGTGTCAGAGACATTTCGCTTTTCTCCATTCAAAGCAATGAACCAAATTGAGGCTGGAAGTAAAATTAGTCTGTTCAGTTTTATCAATGTGCAAAGTTGTATTACTATTGCCAGTGGGTCAAAAGGGAACAAGACAAATACATGTACATGTACATGTATGTCAGTCTCGTTAAAAGGTCTATGATGCTGCTTTAAAGTTGTGCTTACTGTAGCAGAAAAAGTTCGCTAACCTTTTTAATCATAACTTTGGTAACGGTCGTGTACACACGGAGTTTTCCTTTGTCTTTTCTTTCCTATTGTTTCTTTTGTTTTCCAATCTTTTTTCTTCCTACCGTTCATCATTTGGGTGACATTGTCGTCACTCAAACTTGTCTTATGTGCAGCTTTTAGCGTTAAACCTCGTCTGATTCAACAACAGTAGCAGATTGGCGGCTGTCGATCTTTAACTGGTTAAGTTGGAATTAATTGTTTTGTGGAGTATTTTCCCAGATTATTTGAAAGGTCAAATGCTGCATCACAGACTTACACCTTTGTTTTTCTTTTTTCCCGACTAGAGTTCACTGTTTGTCCTCTTCCTTTCACCGAGGAACCGTCTCAAGAATGACCCTCCATGTGCTCTGACCTGAATGTTGATGTAAGCATCCCATTGAAATGGCCTGAATAAATATGCTGTTAGCACAGAAGGGGTGAAATGTCTTGCTCATGGACACAGGCACAAACCAGTAGGTGAACTTGCCTCGAACGTACCATCCAGGCTTGAGTGACCAATCCTAGCTTAGTCTCAGCAACACGAACTTGCACATGAACATGCCTCTATTAAACCATCCAGGCTTGAGTGACCAATTCTAGCTTTAATCCCAGCAACATGAACTAACAGGGGTGAGGTGAACTTTGCCTCTA